TCTCTAGCCAACGACAATCCTCATTCCTTGGGCTCCAATCTGGGGGGCGGGTTGCACCAACCGAAGCGAGAGCTGAAGCCAGTTTCTTCATGCCTCTACGCCAGGTCATGGTCTGACCGCCGCGGCGCTTCTTCCAGCCTTGCCTGGCACGTGCGAAGAGAGTACGGAAAGGTGGTCTATGAGCAGGCATACGCAATACGTGACCAAACCATCGGAGGCGATTACTTCTGCTAGAGAACGACCATCCGCACCCAGCACACGACGAGGAACCTCGTCATTACTCATCCAGCGTTCCCACCATACACGAGCAATGCTTCGGAGACATCGGTGGTGGAACACAAAAATTGTCTTTTAATACTTCCTTTTTATTTATTGAATATACAAACGTACAGTCAACTTTCAGGAAGGGGGTTGCGTCCATACAAAGGCTGCCCGGGGAAAATACAGAAATAGGAAAGACAGGCGGCGGTGGAGCGGCTCGAACCCGGGACTTCTGGGTCATAAGTTGGTGACCTAACCGCTTGGCCACCACCGTCCAAGTCGATTAGAATCCTCGGCGCAAAGGGGCCAGGTCTCGCAACAGTGAAGTAGAACCCAAGAACCGCGGCAATGTACACCCTTCCCTTAAGGGACAGTTGGATGTCATGGCGACACTACAGGTGTCGTAGGTTGGCGAAAGCTGCTCTAGCTTTCGCTATTCGTGAAGTGATCTCCTCCCCAACACCACCACCAGCTGCGATCAAGCTCTCGAGGTACGTAAAGTTCTCGACCATTTCCATTTGATTGCCAGAAATAGCGAATAGGCACAAGCTTCTGCCATTCTCGAACCAGAACTTTGCACTTCGATGGTGCAAAGCACATACCATACCTGGATACCTCTATCGTCAAGCGGTTCAAAGCGTTTTGGACTGCCTGTGTATTGTCACCAAGCAAGGCGATGTCATCGGCATGTTCTAAGTCAAGGACTCTGTGTTCTGAGAGGAGTTGAACTTCACCGTCTGCTAGACCGGCCAAAGCATTCTGTAGAACATTCTCTTTGACAAAGTTGAAAAGGAATGGGGTTATAGGGTAGTCTTGCCAAACTCTACTGGAGACGGCGAAGGGTGGCGAAAGCGGGCCATAGGCCCTAACCTGACCTGAGGTATGATGATACAACTCTTTGAGGACCAACACATACTTCTCAGGTACCCCATGATGTGAGAGACGATCGCAACAGCCGTTGAACAGAGAGAAGACAAAGGCCCGATATCTAGGCTTTATTCAACATACGATGGACGACAGGGNAATGAGTGGGAAATTTAGAGGGATGAGTACAAAGTAATTTGAAACGACAAACAAAGTGCAGACAGTTTTCGTCGGAATTTCTGTATGTGAAAATGTTCTATGCTTCTCGGTTTCTCAGATTATAGGGGTGAGTGCGCNCGCTGTGCTTTTACTAATGGGTATATTTCGGGTTCTGTATTGTATGGATTAGTGTTTTGAATGAGGAGTGGGGAAATGCTTGTGGCTGTTTTTCCATTGTTACTCTCTGTATGAGGGGGTTGAGGATTGCATTCGGGGATTGCGGATTCATCGGGTTCTGGGTATGTACCCGTTGTAACTCAGAAACTTGACCTCTGGGGGCCAGGTGGTGTATTGATACCGTATCTTCTCGCCCATTTGGGAAACGGACATGGGCGTACTTGGGGTTACATTCGAGTAACTCAACTTCGTCCACCAGGCGGTCGGTTTTTGTTAATCTCAAGGAACTGGTCCAGGAATACTCAATCAGGTTGGTATGGAGACTCCTGATGCAGATTTGCGATTATAAGAAAACAATCGCTCGTGTGGGGTCGCATTGGTGGCTGTACACAGTAGTGATCAACTAGAATGGAGAGCTTCTAGAAGAACGGATTCCCACTGATTACACGGCAGACCCTTGGATTGCTCTGCGAGAACGATAGACTTCCAAAGGGTCCCGTTTAGTCTCTCAACTTGTCCGTTTGAGC